AACAAGTCAAATTTTTTAAAGAATCTATCACGCACCATTATATTTTTAATGTGGTTGTAATAAAATACCTATCCATAAAAATATCCTTCTTAGAAGTAAATAAAAATATTTATATTTTTATAAAAAAAATGCTTCTAACAACATTAAAATGTTTCTATTCTATTTCTATTTTATCCCACCCCGATTGAACCAGGAGCAGCAGTCAGGAGTTCCTCGAGGACAAGGACAATGCCAAAAAGGGAGGTCTGTGCGGCTGCTGCTCCGCGCTGTTCATGCCCTGCCGCCGATCACGCTGCTCCCGTTGCTGCCGGCGCCGCGAGAGGAACCAGTCCGCCGAGGACCAGCCCGTCCTGTGGAGCGGCAACAGCAGTGCCACCACGGCCACCAATGTCCAAGTGATTGATGAGACCAAGCCGAAGCGCAAGAAGGCCACCGACTGGCTGAAGTCCAGCTGCTGCCGGAGCTGTCGCAAGAAACCCGTCCACTCCGAGGGGGAGGAGGAGGATCCTGTCCAGGAGGAGGTGTCCAAGAGCACGAAGCAGGGGGCCAACATGAGCACGGGACCAAAGCCGCGGGGCAAGTGCGGACTCTGCCTGAGCAAGGTGTTTTGCTGTCGCTCGGTGAACAAGGTGGATCCCACCACTGGCGATGAGACGGAGCTGAGTAAGTGCTGCTTCTGCATACCCTGTCGCAGGGGGAACCGACCCAACAAAAAGGGCAGCACCGTGTCCTGGCGGGATCAGGACCCGGAGCTGGGAATAAAGCCCACCGAGTCCTCGGTGGTGGAGGGCACCTCTGAATCGGCCATGTCGGCGACAGCGGATGCTGGAAATAACCAGGTTCAGGAGTGAGTATTCTGGATTTTAGATGATATTCGTTTTTTTGAGATTCCATATGAATCAAAAATCTTAAAGGTTTTATTCCAAAGGTAGTTTAATCATTAATCTCTCCTTTTCACCTTCAATAGTTTTAGTTCTTGCAATTTTTAATACCAATTTAACATTATTCAATTGTTAAAATTATATTATTTATATTATTTTGTGAATGTAATATTTATATATTCAAAAGGCTTAAATAATTATTGTATTTTTAATATTCCAATTTATTTCAGGGGATGCTGCAAGCGTTTCTGGCTGATGTTGCTGTGCTGTCGCAAAAAGAAGCGTCGTGAGTCCAATGCCCGGAGGCAGAGTATAAAGGCGCCGCCACCCAGCGAGGCAAGAATTCCACTGAAATAATGCTATTATATTATTAGTAAATAATAATGCAACATAATCAAACTATATCTCTACCATTAGGACACCCGTAAGAAGCTGCATGTGGACCTGGTCGAGTATACATCCAAAATGAAGGGAGCTATTCCAGTGCTGCCGCTGTATTTGGCCTGGTTCTGCGCCTTCTGCAATGTTGTTTTTCCAGGACTAGGTGGGTAGTGAAAAATGTTTGTCCTAAACAGATATTAAGTTAGAGATTCCCCCATTAAAGGAACCTTGCTCTCTGGACTATTTTGCCTGTGCGTGGGCATTCCGCGCTTTTCACAATTCGACAGCGCCCGTGCCAGGATTGGATCCTTCATCATCAACATCATTGTAGCGGTGTCCCAATTCTTCTGCGTGCTCTTCTGCTTTGTGGGATGGGGCTGGTCGATTTGGTGGGGCACCATAATGCTAAAGTGTGCAAGTAAGAATAATACGATCTTAATAAAATCAGGGGCTCTCATCGCAATTCCTATCCCCTTTCAGAGAAACTGAGCAAAATCAAAAAGGTGGAGCGCTTGGAGCTGGAGGAGGAGCAGCGGCAGGCGCACCTGGCGGAGGCGGCCAAGAACGGCGAAACTGAGGCGGCCAAGACATAGTCCTCCGATCCCGGTTATAAATAAGTTGCTTTTTATACCATTGTGTACATACTTTTGTACAAAACATGTAGATTCCACAAAAACACGCACTTCCACATGAACTTCCAGGTTAAGCGAAATGGAACAGAACTTCCTTTAAACATGATATGCATTAATGTAAATTTATTAAAATCATTAAACTTCCACTAAAATATGAACGTTTTTTATTAACCCAAAGCAAATAAAAACCTAACTATTAAACAATGGAAGTATTAAAGAATCTTTCTTATATATGGTACAAAGGACATCTAAAACCGATTAATTTTGTTACAGAAACACGTATGGTTACTGATTTCAAAATTAGTTTTAAAATGGTAGAACCTGAAGCATCTAGTTTTTAAACTTAAATTACGGGCAGGGTCTGAATGACCAAAACATTTTAAATAGATTCTTGCGAAGGATCTGCTTAAATAGTTTAAAATTTAAGCTAATAATTTATCTTGCGTAATAAAATAGAAACTTATTTGAAAAAATAGATAGCAGTATGCCATTGGAAAATATTCTTAATACGTAGTTGCTATGTATTGTTTTTACAGCATTAATTTTGAATTTACCAAAGGTTATTGAAAGCTTAAAGGGACTCCCCTAATAATTTCCATTTAGTGCGACCGTATCCCGTTTGTTTTCATCGGCATATGCCCATTTCGCAGTGCGGTCACACCAATTCGTTCTTCTTTTTAGCGTTCCTTAAAAAAACACGACGTCAACTTGCGAATTTTACACAATTTAGCCGTAGAAAATGTCGCACCTCGTGAAAATGGAAAACGGACAGAGCCAGACGATCCAGGAGATGCTGGGCTGCATCGAGCGGTGAGATTTGGACAACATCTTTGGTATCGATAAGGGTACATAAACATAACCTCGCTTTTCCTGCAGCTACAACCCGGATCATCTGAAGACTCTGGAGGCCTATGTGCAGGATCAGGCTAAGAACAATACCTACGACCTGGAGGCCAACCTGGCCGTGCTCAAGCTGTACCAGTTCAACCCGCACATGCTGAACTTCGACATCACCTACACCATCCTGCTGAAGTCGCTGACCAGCCTGCCGCACACGGACTTCGTGATGGCCAAGTGCCTGCTGCTGCCCCAGCAAATGAAGGACGAGAATGTCCAGACCATCATCGACCTGGCCGACATCCTGGAGCGCGCCGACTTCACCCTCTTCTGGCAGCGCGCCGAGGTCAACCGCAGCATGTTCCGTCACATCTCCGGCTTCCACGATTCCATTCGCAAGTTCGTCTCGCATGTGGTGGGCACCACCTTCCAAACGATCCGCAAGGACCTGCTTAAGGAGCTGCTCGGCGGCATCGAGGACTCGACGCTGGAGAGCTGGATCAAGCGCAATGGCTGGAAGCACCAGGGCCAGGGACTCGTCGTTGTTGCCACCCAGGACGACAAGATCAAGACAAAGAACATTACGGAGAAGATCGAGTTCGACAATGTCGGCGCCCTGATGGCCCAGTGCCTGTAGGATCCATGTCCTCTTCCGCGTTAGTCTATGTCTAAATTTCTACGAATAGTAATTAACGGAAACAACAAATAAAAGCCTGTCCGTACAGCTAACTTATGTTGTGGTTTATTCTCGATCGGAGCTGCTCGCCAGGCTGCTCCCACTCACGACTTTAGACTTTCGGAACTACCGCCGACCTTAAAACGAACGTACAGAACTAATAAAGCGCTATCCTATTTATGACTGCTTCTTGAACTTTTTCAATATGGGGAATATCTTGTCAAAGGCGTCGTAGATCTCCTGCCGCACCTTGGCGCCGGTAAGCACCACTTTGCCGGACACGAAGATGAGGAGCACGATGCGGGGTCGCACCATACGGTAGATGAGGCCGGGAAACAGCTCCGGTTCGTAGCTGCTGAAGTTACAATGGGTGAGCACCAGGCCTTCCAAGCGGATGGGGAACTTGACATCGCAGGAGCCGACCATGTTCTGGATCTTAAAGTCAAGGAATTTGGCCTGAAATGGTTAAAGTATAAGAATGCTGATGTTTTTTCCCTTGTAAAGTTCACTCACAGGAAACCCAAGCTTTTGAATGATGCGCGCATACTTCCTGGCCGCCAGTCGGGAGTCGTCCTCGCTCTTGGCGCCTGTGCACACCATCTTGCCGGAGCTGAAGATCAAGGCAGTGGTTCGGGGCTCTCGGATTCGCATAATCACGGCCGCAAATCGCTTGGGATTGTACTCGGCATTCCTCGCGTGCAGCGCAATCTTCTTGAGGTCAAGTTTGCAGCACAGATTCACCGTGGACACGATGTTCTGAAGTTGCGGCACAATGCCGGGATCAGCGGATCCCGGAGTGGCGGGAGTCATCGGCGTGGAGGGGCCCATTGTCTGGTGAATGTTGCTGAGGCCATCTCCCCCACCTCCGGCTCCCGAGCCGCCCACACTGCGCTCGCTCATGGGCATCATGTGGGCCATCATGCTCTGCGGCGTTTGGGGTTGCATCATGGACTGCGGAGTGCTTCCTCCTTCGCCGGGCTGGCTCTGGAGCTGCTGTTGCTGCTGCTGATAGGATGTCGATGGCTGGTAGCTCTGCATCTGCTTGTGGGCCAGTGGGATGGTGGGTTCCGGCTGCGGAACAGCTGGAGGATGGTACACTGGATTGGCCACAATCTGCTGGTCCGCTTCCATCTGGTGGAGCGGCGTTCCGATGCTCGGAATCGAGAAGTTGGGGCTGAGCATTTGGTCCATCTTGCAGATGGGTTGTTGTGCGGTCTCGTCGGGATTCTGGGTGAGTCAGTTCTAGGAAATTTCCGGATAAATTTGCATGCCCACGGAGCGGGAGAAATAATAATAATATAATTGCAGAAGCGTTCGTCGTTGTACCTGTGGCTCCTTCCGTGTGAATGGCAAAAGCAGAGTAGCATTTCACCGCCAGTATCGATTACGCAACGCCTTACGTTTCCTTACGTTTTTACCATTTCAAATGCCATTTTCTTGGGCAGATAATAATTATAAACTATAATCACACTTCTACGGATAGCAAATAAACATCTTGGATACTTTGGTAATATCTTTTCACTTTTGTTCTCTTCCTGCTTATGTTTTGTCTCCCCTATACGTCTTTACCTATCGATAATTGAAATGGCGCGCTTTTTTGAATGTTCTACAAAAAATTAATGTATTTTTTTGTATTAGCAATTGCATTGTTTCTAAAAATTGGTATGCATAATGGGATTATTTACCCAAAAGGTGTATATGTGTAAGTATACTCAGACTAAATTAAAAAGCGCTACTACATTTAAATGTACGCACATTTAAAAGTGAATTTCTATGGAGGGTAACGATAAACACTGTGCTTAATTAATAAATTGGAAAATTTGAAATTTAAACAGCCAATTAAATGGTAATTAAACTGAGTAACAAAAGTAAGACGCCGCCCGCGCTGAATCCCAAAGGTGAAGAAGCCGAAATCATTTCATTCGTCGTTGAAGAATGAGTGTGAGTGTAGGTATTCCCCTGTTCATCGGTGTAAACATGTTGACCACTTGCGGGTGAATTCTGGAAGGTACCGCCCACGCCGGGAACTGTGTAGGGTCCTTCGTTTTGACCCCTTATATAGATCTCGTTTCCAGGTGTTCCGAATTGGTGGGGGCCATTTCTTCCATCATAATTCTGCTGCGCATTTGTGGCTAATTGAAAAGAGAGTTTATTTAATTTTGCGCTTCTCAGGTTCCCACACTCAACTTACCGGCTAAAAAACTGCTCACAACAAAAATAATCAAAACAAACGTCGTTCTCATGATGCAGTTTCCAGTCACTGAGCTCAATTTCAACTGAGAGCAGTCTGGTAATTCGAAATCTATTTATACGAACCGCGAGAAAAACGAGCTTTTGCCAATTAGCAGATGAGAGGTTCAGAATGGGTGACATCACAGCTTAGAATGCGAAAATGGGTTCGAAATGTTGGGCTCCCCATGCATGATAAACATTGCAAATAAAAAAGAAAGCACCAATTTCAAAATAGATGCACCCTATTGGCAAGATATATAATATTTTGCGCATGCTTTTACCCAGCTAATGACATTTTTAAATTTAGTTCACTAGCTTGGGAAGAGAAAGCAAACAAAGAGTGCAATATATTGGGAATACGGCAACATACATCGACATTTAAGCATATATAGACTTTGAGAACATTATATAATGTGCACTCAAAACAAACGAAAAAATAAGCAAGAGAGGCAACACTTCGAAAGTACAAATATCGAGTCCTGAAAATTAAGCAACATTACCCAAAAACAAAGTAGGTTTTTAGAATAGTGTTGGACAATTTGGGACCGTAGCTGCTAAATTGAAGTACTCCAGAAGAAAAGAAAAAAAATTAAAAACGAAATGGAGAAGGTCTGCCAGTTTTTCCGCAACAATTATGTGCTGGCCAACTGCGAGGATGCCATCCACAAGAAGGCGTTCTCCCTGAATCTGTCCCACTACCAAATGACCGATGTTCCGGCCATTATCGAGAAGTGTGAGACGCTGATGAAACTATTCCTCAACCAGAACAAGTTGACAAAGGTTGGCGGAGCCTCTTTGGCATAATTACTTACAAGTACGCAATAATCGAATAACTCCTTGATAGATTCCATCCTCCATTGGCGAGTTGCTGCGTCTGCAAGTCCTCACTCTGGACTACAATAAACTGGATGAATTCCCGCAGTGCATCTGCCGTTTAGTGCGTCTGAAGTTTCTCAACATCAGTTGCAATAGCATAAGTTCACTGCCCCCGGAAATCGGCTATCTGACCCTGCTGGAGACCTTCTGGTGCAACAATACTGGACTCTTGGAGCTGCCCTCCGAGATTCGCAACTGCGAGAAGCTCGAAACGCTTGGAGTGCGTGGTAATCCCCTGACGAAACTGCCTGATGCCATCGGTGCTCTGACCGCACTCCGTTGGCTGACCGCCGAGGGTTGCGAGCTCACGGAAGTCCCGCTGACAATGGCGCTGCTGGCCAATCTGGTGCACCTTAATCTCAAGGGGAATCGACTGCGACAACTGCCCAGAATGCTGATGGCCATGCAGAAGCTGCGCTTCCTTTTCCTCAACGAGAACCGCATTGATGAGCTGCCCACAAGGCCTCAGCTGGAGGAGCTGCGCTCCCTGCAGATGCTCAACTTGTCCAAGAATCCCATTAGCCTTCATCACGACCTGCAGCAAATGGCATTGGTGAGTCTCCAGGCGTGTTCTTCAGTCTCCTTTAGCTGAGTTCCTCCCTTGCTTTTGCAGCGCCAGACGAACCTTTATGTGGAGTTACCGGAGGATCCCGTGCAAGCCTGTGATGGCCTGACCAGTCGAGCCAGCCTCAACACCCAGGACCAGCAGGAGGACCAGGCCAGAGGGGCAGGTCAGGACATGGACTCCAACGAATCCGACTGGGCTAATAGCGTCCGCACCAGCGAACTGGACACCACGGACGAGAGCACGATGGAGAACGCCATCGAGGATCTGAGTCTCATGCTGCCGGAAATGTCGCGCTTCGTCACCACCTTTTGAAGGCATTGACGTGATAGTTGGGTGTTATGTAGCACACATAAATCTGTGGTTTATTCTCTACAACTGGGTGTTTTGTACATGTACCTCTAACAATCGTAGCGCCTGAAAAATGCACATTGGTTAAGTGGAAATGGGGATGGGGTTATGGGGTGCCAGGTTAACTAGACATCTTCTTCATCAGCTCCTCGTCCTGCATGGACATGGCCGTGAGCTTCTTGCCGATCTTCTCGTGAATGTCCAGGTACTTGGCCACGCAGCGGTCGATGCAGACCATCTCGCCCTTGCCTGGAAGATAAGGAAATCGTTGAAGTGAAAAATGTCAAGTTGGTGGTACAAAAGATGTTATATCTAGGTTTAAACAACATTTACTTTGTTAGGGAACAAACTAAAAAGTAAGCTAATATATTTTCAATATTTCATCAGTCCTATCTAAAATGTCATCATTAAAGCTTGCAATTATTATAAACTTACAAGCAACCATAAATGCTAATAATATAGTAGAAGAATAGGAATCTGAGCAGATTCATTATAAATAAATAAAGGCGATTGTTTGAACTCATCGAGCTTTGCCGTGTGTTGGTAAATAGGGTAAAAGGGATAGGAGACCCGCCCTATCAAATACTCTAGGACAAATGTTTATAGCTATACCTAAACCTCTAATAGTTATTTTTACACCTACAATCCCCCTCTAGAACTCACCCAACTCCGATTCGGAGTAGCGGGGCGGGATACACTTCTTGTGGCAAGCGTTCGTCATGCGGTTATATAAATCGGACATCATTTCGATCTCCATCTCCTGCATCAGCTGCAGCTTGGCCTGGTCGGCGGAACTGATCTGGGGCAGAGCCATCTTTGCTTGGATACGGTTCTCCTGGGTGCTATATAGTGGGTTCTACTGGTTAGTAGTCGAATCGCCTGTCCGATGCTGCGGTTGAGTCGTAATCGCCCTGGTTTGCCTTCCTCATGCGCTCACGAACTCGCATGCTCTCGTAACGCCGGTTCTCAACGGATTGTTTCGACAGCACAAAAGCGTACACGCCACCCACGGTCAGAACAGTCCTGGTGCGGGAATTCGGAATTTCGAGTGGGTTTAGTAAACCTTTAACCTTTTATTGGCATTTTCCATACGAACCAACAAACAGCAATTCGCCCTGCGTTGCCCAACGACATAGCCTGTTAGGAAAAAACGACACACTAACGCCTTTCAGTGGACAGTGTGCGGGATTTTTTATCACTAGCACGTGTGACAGCTGCGGCGATGGGGGTATTCTTTGTAGTACGAATCACTAGATTCGGAAACTGTGACTTAATTTGGGTGAAAGAAGATGGAACTTCTATCCCGGATTTAAATGTTAGCTTACTTACTTATTTGATAAGCTACTTATTCATCAAGTTTATTTTACATTCGTTTAAGGTCAGGAAGTTTATCGAAAGCCAAATCTATTTACAACTTTGAGGGACACTGTTCATAACTTATCTGTAGTTTTTTATCAAGGAAATGGAAATAAGAAATTAGATTAATGTTATCATTGGTGAATAACCTTAATAACAATCCTTTTTAATTATTCCTGTTACTTAAATTCCAATAAGATTGCAATGCGACTTATTCGATCATTTTTAGTATTTTTCTAGTATCCTGTAGAACGTTGCCGGCTTTCGACTGACGGTCATACTTAAATACTACACTATATTTACTCAGTTCTTTCGTAATTTTAAGTCATATTTTATCAATGAATTAAGATAAGGCGCGAGCAGAGCAGCCCCAAACCAAATGACTTCGCAGATCTACAGCCAGAAGAAGTTCGTGCCCACGCCGCCCGAGAAGGGCTCCTTTCCCCTGGACCACGAAGGCCTCTGCAAGAAGCAGTTCCTGCTCTACGCCAGTTGTCTCAGGAAGAACGCCCAGGACACGAGCCTGTGCCGCCAGGACGCCCAGAACTATCTGGCCTGTCGCATGGACAACAATCTTATGGAGAGAACCGAGTGGTCCAAGTTGGGCTTCCACGATCAGAGCGAGAAAACCGAGCAGAAAACGTCGGAGGAGCAGAAGCAATAGAGTTAGTCAATAGTTAGACCATGAAAGCCGAACGTAATGTGATCATAGCGGCCACCGGCAGTGTGGCCACCATCAAGATGGCCCAGTTAATCCGGGAGCTCTCCGACGAGAGTCTGCCCTTTAAGTTCCACCTGAAAATTCTCGTCACCGAGTCGGCCAAGCACTTTTTTGAACTGGAGCAAATACCCGAAAATGGTGGGTCATCACATCCTACGATATCCACATAAAGGGTGTTATGGATTGATAATATATTACCTAACTTAACATCAAAAATCCGGACTTAACTAACTCATATATCATCATTAGAGCTTAATGATATGTTTATAAAAGGTTCATTTAAATGAAGTTCATTTGCAAACTTTAATTTTATTTTTTCCATATAGAAAAATACCATAAGCTTCTAACATCTTGTTTAGTTTAAATATCAGTAACTCCCAGCTTTCATAATCCCAACTCCGTGGAAATCCCATTAATTAGTCTTATCTTCCAGTACCCATTTACCACAACCGCGATGAGTGGATAGCCTGGAACAAGCGAGGAGATCCCGTCTTGCATATTGACCTGGGCAAATGGGCCGATCTGCTGGTGATTGCGCCCCTCAGCGCCAACTCCCTCTCCAAAATGGCCACCGTAAGACAAAACCCACATTGTGAAATTCTTCGTACATCAAATATCTTTTCTGTATCTCTTTATGGCAGGGGATTTGCGATAATATTGTGATGTGCGTGGTGCGGGCCTGGGATCTTCAGAAACCTCTACTTTTCGCCCCGGCGATGAACACCCGCATGTACGACCACCCAATAACCCGGGAGCAGATCGGCAAGCTGACCAGTTGGGGCTACAAGGAGATACCCTGCATCTCCAAGACGCTTATGTGCGGGGATACCGGAAACGGTGCCATGGCGGAGGTTCCCACTATTGTAGAAGCGGTCTTGTCTGCCTTTCAGCCGGCCAATTAGATAAGTCCACAAATTGTTATGCACACAGAGTTTATATCGCAGAATATTTTGTTACAATAATTAGACAAATAATAATAGGGAATTGGCTATACAATCTTAGAGATCCACCACCTTCATGTCCTCCAGGGAATTGTTCGCCGATTGGCTGATCAGCGCCTTCTCGGAATCCGTGAGGTTGATAAACTTGTGCTTGGACTTCAGCTCTTGCTGGATGGAGGAGAGTAAATCTGGCGAGCATCGTCCCGGCTTCAAGCTCGTCTTTTGATCCTGCGACTCGGCGGCTCCGGTGATCTCCATTTTGGGCTCCACAATAGTCTCCATCTGCAGCGACTGCCGTTTGCGACGCATCCTCTTGGAACCCCTGGTGATGAGCACCACGGCTGGGGATTCAAACGGCAGCGCCTGGATGACTGTCTGGAGGAGCTTCGGTGGCGGTGTTTTCGGATTGCGGTTGCCAATTACCACATCTGCCTGGAGGGCACTGCGGGCTCGCTCGCGCTCCTCCTCCCGCTCCCTGGCTGCATTTTTCCTCATCAATTGACGGGCTCGCTTCTTGAGGATCGCCTGTGCAGTTGGATAGTAAGCGATGACCTCGTTTAAATCGGACTTTGACAGCACAAACAGGTTGGAGTAGCCCTTGGAGCGCACATCGGCTGTCCTGCGATCAGCTCCATTGATACCCAGCAGGCTGATCTCGCCGAAAACGGAGCCTTCTGTCAAAGTGGCGAGCACCACATCGCTGCCAGGACCACCCATCACCTGGACTTGACCAAGTTTCACGATGTACATCTCTCTGCCAACCTCGCCCTTGCGACAAACGAAATCTCCCGGTAGAAAGGTTACGGCTCGTAGCTTTAAGACCAGATCTCTGAGTAAAGCCTCTTCGCAATCGGCAAAGAGTTGTACCTTGGAGAGGGTTTGAATGTGCACGGAGATGGCGATGTCGGTTTTAAGGTTGATGGGCAAGGCGTCTAGGATGTTGGATTCATCTGAGAAATGGGACATTAGTTGGGCATCTATAGTTTGTCCTGGTTATACATACCCAAAGTGCGCTGCTGCTCCCAAGTGAACTGGAACCACATTTTGACCCTGGACTGCACCTCCTGGGAGAGATTAAGCCGTCGCATATACTCCAGCGTCTCATCCTCCAACTGGCGATACTCGTGTTTGTTTCGAGTGGCTGTCGAGATGATGTCTCTGATCTGTCCGATGAGCAAGGCGAAGACAAACACGCCCATTAGCCAGGCCACCGTCATGAAGACGTACTCCCCTTGTCGTTCTGGCTTTGGATTCTTGCCTATCGAGGTGGCCGTTTTGGTGGCGAAGGCGAAGCACCTCACATACGGATGACCCTTGCCGCTGAAGACCCAACGATTCTGTCCCAATCCCTGGTAGTCACTGTAGGCATAATAGAGGGCAGCCGTGATGTGAATCATGTACAGCATGTAGGTCAAGGTTTTGGCTACGCGAACCTATAAGATGGGATAGTTAGTAAGGGATATTACGATTAGCAGTGAAAACCTACAAAGTGTGGGGAAGATATCACACGATCCAAAAGGCGGAACACTTCCCAAAAGCTTTGAATCTTGAAGAACCGAGGAAAACGCAACCAAACGGCTCCTGTTCCCAACTGTAGGTATAATAAGTCCAACGGGAGAAGCGCCAGAAGATCCAACTGGAAAGTTAAATATTATTATAATAAGGTATTTTGTCATAAGACTATAAATGTCTAGATTTAATATATACTTTCCCCCGCCTTTGCCTTGTATAAGTAGTAAAATTTCACCTAATACCCACCTTGAATTGCAGCTTTCGCATGTAGTTCTTCCTGGTTAGATTCTTGTTCTTAACCCAAAATCCCTCGAAGAGGTACATAACCCGGTGCTTGAAGAAGACGACATCCAGGAGGTATACTATGTCAGCACAATAGTCGCAGGCCAGCCAGATGTTGGTGTTCTCCTTGGTCTGAAAGGGAAACGATGCGCGCAGCGGTATGACCCAGGCGTTGTAGAGGAAGGATAGCGATACCACGCACAGCCAGGAGATGTAGATCTTGCCCTGGGGATCCAGGGTGCGCTCATCGTTGTTGGCGCCGCACAAACTGGAACAGAGCCACACATTCGAGCGGGGAGTGTCGGCCTCAAAGAGCCTTCCTCGATGGGGAGACTGACCCGCCGGCACCAGGCGCACCTTGTGCTGGGGACTGGGATGCAGACTCTTGGTTGGAGGAGGAGATGGCGAACTGGCTGTGCTGCTGGAGGAAGGAGTTGGTGGCAGCTCAATCCGGGACTTGACCTTGTTGGCTCTGGCTGTGAAGCGGCGAACCAAATGACGCACTTGATCGCGGAGGAACTGCTGACCTTGGGAGTCCAAGCTGCCTGTGCTGCTCGGCTTGCGGTGCTCCAGGTCCATCTCCACATTCATTTCCGTGTCCGGTTCATCCACTGCCACTATCTCGCTTTCATTAATGGAGGGTGTTCCTCGGGCTCGTTCGTTGCGATCTTCGTTCTGGAGTTCCGGTGACTCGTTGTAGCAAATCTGCACATCCTGCTCATCCTCGTCGATAATGGGAATGGATTCCACTGGATCCTCCTCCTCCGCGGGTAGAACCACCTGACCCGTGGCTGCTGCCAATTCCTCTGCCCGCTGGATGGCAATGGGATCCGGCACAATCTCGGGAACAGCTCCTGGTAGTGGAACCATTTCGAAGCTCTCCTCCTTCTCCTGCTCGAGCACCCTCCGCACACTATCCGGACTCACCAGAGGCTTCTCGTGATGCAGTATGTGCTTGACCAGAGCATGGGTGGCGCCCACATTGTTCTGGTGCTCCGTGGAGTCCACACAGCCAATCTTGCCATTCCTGAAGTACAGCCTGGAGTGGTAGAACCGTGGGCTACCAGGTCGATGTCTCCTCGGCGGAGCCTTGTAGGCGTTTATCTTGTAGGTGACCCTCTTAACCGGACTGGGGCACTTGTTCTCCTTGTTGGAGTTCAGGACCTGCTCCTGCTCCTTCTCCTTCTGCAGCAGCTCCTCGGTGGCGCTGACAAACTGCTCGATCTCCTTGAGGTCTTTGGTGATCTCCTCCAGACTTCGCCGCACCTGGGCTTCCTTCTCGCCGGGACTCGAGTAGCGGCGCACACTTTCCGGCTGCCGGTTGATTACATTCCGCATGAAGGCATGCCGCTCCAAGGTGTCGCAGAACTTGGGCTCCTTCCGCGACGAGGAGGTGGACGAGGATGAGCTGCTCTGGGAGCCGGAATGGGCGGTGGGTGAGGTGGCCATGCGCTTGAGGAGCGGATGATTGGCCGGCTGGAACTCGTCGTAGGAAAAGTTCTCCAATATATTCGGGGATGACTTCAGCAATGATGCACTCGCCTCCGGTTCGAGCTCCTCACTTGGACGACTCGCCTGCAAATGAATGGATGAGCCGCACGTTCAGTCGATTGAGGGTCGGTTTTGTATTTTATTTTTGAGAAATAAATAAAAACAAGGCGAACCAGCACGCAAATGCAATAAAAACAACAAAAACGTGGGGCTGTAAGTGTGATTCGCATGGTAATTGCCCCGAGACACCCGCACAACGGTTTTGGAACGCCAAAAGCTCGTTTATCGAACTATCCATCTGATATCTTTACTTTTGGGGTAATAACCCAAAGGGTCGCGAGTTCAACTAACTGACTTTACAAGTGATACTTTGAACTATGACCAAGGTTAAGGCTAACATAAAATTATATTTCGGCATATTCTTAGCAGAAAACTTAATTATTAGAAATATAAAGCCTCAAAAATAGATTTTATTCAAGATAATAAATATTTTTAAGCTCTTCAAGTATTACTCAGGGGTTATGTAAGGCTACAAGAAGCTTACCCTGACCAAGTATCATAAGTGGTCTAAGTGTTGGAAGCTCTTAGCTCCCATCTTTAGAAACAATATTGTTCTTCAAATAAAAACTTTTAAGCTTACACATATAATAAATCCTGATTTAGTAGTTCTTACTACGATCTTAAAAAGCTTTGGTCACAAAAGAAAATTTAAATATTTTCATAAAGTAGACAAAAGATCTGAAGTTGTTAAATGGTATACGTTATAATCTTAGTTTCTCAACAAAAAGATGTATTATACACAAAAATTCGGAACTAATATTGTATTTAGAATAACACATTTTATTTGGGTGATATATCTTGACTTGGTAACTTAGAAAAGAATTGAAAGTAAAGTAGTTACAAAGTCTGCATTCTTTTAAGGTACTATCACATTTCTTATACATTGCATTCCATTCATAACAATCTTGCATTCTATTTCTAACCATCAATTATATCCACAAGAGCCTTTACCCTAATGAAATATATATAAGCGTTGACCAAAGATAATATAGACCACTACTATTTTATGGTCTTTGCATTGACCATAGCTTACCTTGCGAAAACGTGCCATGCTGGACATTCTGTTGACCGACTTGCCGCGGGGCAAGTTCAGTGTCACCGGGGGTTCAGGGTCGTTAGCCTGTAATGGCCTGTAGCCTCTTAGCCTGTAATTAAGCAGGGGAAAGGGAACGAGTTTAGCTTGGTGCGTGTTGCACACGGCGTATGATTAATGTGCTGAGTGGACACGCGAAACGCAGTGCACTTGACCTTATCGAGTGCTATCTCTACTCAGCTTATTACTTTGAATTTCCATATGCTCTACGCACTATTGATTTTTCCAGCTGTTGCAACTTGGAGTGCTCTCTTTGTTTTTCCACGGTGGCTTTTATTTTTTTTTTGCTGATAACGAAGTTCAACAGGTGGTTGAAAATGTATGAAAACTTTACCTGGATTTTTGTTCAGGTATTCGGTTAGCACTGATTTATTTTCTTAGTTTTTGAGCAATGGATTGCAAGTATTTGGTAATAGTGAGTAGAAACTGACTTCCCTACTCCTTTGCCAAATTTGGGTTTTTAATAAAGGTCCCCGATCCTAGACAGAAAGTCACCGACCATCGATGCAGATGAAGATAAACTGGTCAATGAAAGGCGGGACATCTATATAGTTAGTCTAAACAAAGTTAACGCAGGCGCTGTTGGCTCCATTCAAGTATAGTGGTTCAAAACCTTTGAAAAGTATACCAAACTTACAAGAGTTTTGGAAACAGGATATTTTAGAAAACAAATTATCAATCCCAGAACACATTTATAATTATCTGATTATATTTAGAAACACGTTTTACTTATAAGTTGAATAAAATTTTAGTTTTGAACATTTCTATCACCAAACTATTCTATATAGGAGCACTTAAAATTCAAATAAGAGATTCAAAGAAATATTCATTATTTTCTTTTATTTTTAAAAACCTTTTTCGTTTAACTCTAATGAACAAAATCTTTGTCGATATTATTTTTACCATCATCTAAAAAGCTCGCAACGAACTTCAAGCATTTAAAGTTCCATTCAAGTTCTGTTCATATGAAAGCTTATAATCATTCATAGCCAATCCCCAAACAATCCCAAAAAAGTCACACCAAAGTCTTGAGTTTTTCACATTTTGTTTTATATATTTTTTTTTAAATATTCCATTCAGCTCTACATTCACAATTACATATTTGTAATATTGGTTTTTTGTTTTTCCTTTTAAATTACATAATATATATTTAAATATATATTTATGTATATAGTTTAAAATGTATGTATATATTTATAACTTTTTGCTTTCGAATCGAGGGACTCAAAATTCAAATAACTTGATGCGATCGAAAGTGGCTAAAGGGGCGAGCGGGGAATCCCCTCTTGGGGGCAGTGGGCGTGTCATACATATAGATACATTTATACGTACAAACCTAGAATATAAGAACAGTTGACTGGAAATAATGTGTGTGTGATTTTTCACTTCTTTAACTTAGTTTTATGGTTTATGCTGTGTGTTTGTTGGCATGTGTGTATCGGTGTGTTCTCATGTTTATGGATTTAGTGCATATTTAAAGATTTAAGGTCTTAATTCATTTTTTTGTAAGTTTTTCATATTTTTTTGAGATTTTTTTAATTAAGTTTTTTGTTGGTTTCCATTTTTGTGGGTTCTCTTTTTGTCACTTAAAAAATTACATTAATAAAATGTATTTTAAAACTTATGCAGAAAAACGTTGCCCAATGCGGAGGCTGCAACCGTCTACTCGCTCTCGTCCTCCTCCTCCTCCTCGGAGGACTCTTTCTTCTTGGCCTTCTTGGCGGGCTTGGCGGCCGCCTTCTTTCGCTTCTTGGGCGCTCCCGAATCGGTACCGCCGTTGGCCTCGTACTCCTTCACCGCCTTGTTGTACTCCTCCTTCATCTTGATGGCCTTCTGCTCCCATTCCTGTTGAGAGGTGAGAGAATATTGTATCACTGGGTCACCTTTGGGTGGGTAATGGTACACTTACGGTCTTATCCTTCAGTCCGCGCCAGAGCTCGCCACCCCGCTTGGCGATGTCTGTCACCTTGCTGCCGGGATTATCCTTCTTGATCTGTTCGCGGGTCTCGTTGAGCCACAGCATGTAGGCCGAAAGGGGACGCTTCGGGCGGTCTCCACTCATGTTTGTTTCTGGTTTGGATTGATTTCTTTCAAGGAAAATGTGAAGGCTGAGCTCTTAAGCAGCTGAAAGAGGGAAAAATAATTATAAATTAAAATATCGCTTACGAAAATCGCTATGTTATGTTATGATTTAAAGTTCCAGATTAAATTTTGGGTGCCCTATACCACTTATAAAACATATCTGGTATTTAATTGAGAACCCTTTAATAACACCATCAAACGTTTTAAAAATTATTTACTGTCTTAATATTTAGAAATGGAGTTTTTAATCTGAATTTTAGAGGAATGTCTTGCCAGAAATAAATAATTTTTTAAAAGGTTCCTATAAAAAGTTCTTATAAAAAACTTTCATAGAAAACCTTCAAAAAGCTAAATAAATATTAAAAATTTTAGTTTCAGTGTTTAATTTTAAACCATAATCACTTCGAAAAGAAAAACAAATGCTTTAATAGATACGTATTAATTAAAATAACAGACAATATCCTTATGTTTTACTTTTGCTGTGCCGACTCGTCCGATTGAATATTCAATAATTGCATTTTGGGCCTGTGCGCAAACAGGCATTAATTAAATATGCCTGCCTGTACGCCAACGCACAGATTCGACCCCCGGCCTCAACGCCCCCTTATTTCCACCCACGTGAACCAATGGAATGGAATACTTTTAATACATAATCCTTGCGGCTTTATATAACCCCCTACATAATGGCTATTTATGGCAGCAATATTTCCAATTAATTGTGGGTGTCGATTTCTTGTACATATATGTACAACTACCTTATGTACTGTGAATCGCCATATAAATGCTGAATATATACCGCAGAGGTCAACGACCCAAGAGAATTTCGTTGCAGTGCCACTCAAACCCGACTTAAAGCACCTTTTCACCTTAGCAAGTCAGCTGGGAGATGGCATGCAAATGAAGCGACAACGATGACGACAATCTGCCCCCCAAAACAACGGCCAAGAGCCGGGGAGCCATGGAGCCACTGCACTTGACCCAAATCCAGGAATTCAGCGCAAAACGAGACATCGACAGGCACTGAAGGGGGGCTCAGTGGGGTTAAGGGGGTTCGTTGTAGACGGATGGAGGAGCATAACGACGTGAATTGGGTTAACAAACGACTCGCAAGCAAAGGAATCTGCGGCGCCTGAGGAGCGAACTGCAGGGGGATTCAGTGGGAGGCATCAATCAGGCAGCCGCCATCGCACATTGCACAACTCCCCCCTCCCCCCCCCCCACGGATACTGCATACATACACACATATACATCCCTATCTGCGTATCCTGTGTCCAGGAGCAACAGGAAAACGGCGGCAAAATTGTTGCTAGTTCAACGCGGGCCCAGCACAGCCACACGCATCCATAAGATAGACGGTTGGCTGGCTGGCGAGGCTTCGCATATTGCGGCAACACGTGATGCAGCCAGGACTCCACCTCCCCTTTACCCCCCTGTGTATATATATCTTCGTGCATAGAGGGGGTCCTCCTAGAAAATCGAAAGCGAAAACCATTTCCCGTCTGTGTATGTGCATATTCGGTTGGGTAAATACATCTGTATCTGTTGTTCTGCGCTGTGAGCTTCGGTTTTTTCGCTCAAACAAGGGGAAAACATTTTCAACTTGGCATAACAGGACTTAAAAAGAGGCTATACAACTCTGAATAACTGAATACAAGTGAAAGAAACAACTCACACAATATTTAAAAAATTAAAAAGAGGAGAGAAAAATATATGTATAATACATTTAAAACAAGAAGACGATATTGGAAATAAATGCTATGTATAATTACACTTATAATATATAATATAAGTTTTATTTTAAATTAATTTTTTTATTTAATAATAAAAAGGAAAGGCATATAAGTAATATTTTTTAATATATTATTTTTGGATTTAAGTTTCATATTTTTGAAAACAAGAAACTGCTTAAAAACGAATTGATTAATAAATTCCTCTTCAACTCTATTATAAAATTATGCTTATAATCACAAGTTTTATGTTTTCAAACTCAAAATGCATTACTATCTGCTCATTTTCACCCATAATTCCTCTGATTAGCAGCCAACTCATCCACATTGTTAATTTACTCCCCAGCATTACGCATACGCAGCGTTGGCAACTCTGGCGCGGCACATTACGCATACGCAACGTGTTGCGGCCGCCCCTGGTGCATGTGGCATATGGCGTAATGAAACCCCAGACTAACGGCAAACAGAACCCACACAAAAAAGGCACACAAAGGACATTAAACGGAATACAAAATAAGGAGCTGCACAAAAAGGGAAAAATTAAAACGCAAAGCCTTCTCAGTGGAAAACACCACTGCCATTTTGTCGATCTAAAATTGAAAAGCAGACGTCGACTGAGGCAGAGGCAGCGACTGAGCAGAGGCAGCGGCGTTGACGTCAACTGAGAGACAACTGACAACGCTTATCTGGTCTGTATGGACTGTATGTGTTTATGGCGTGTGTTTTAATGCCCCGTCCTGCTGGAGAGCCAACCTTCCATGCAGCACCAGGCACCACCAGTACAAGTAGCAACCACCGAGCCACCGGGCCACAGGAAACCATCCACACATCGAAAAACCACCCAAAACCACCCATGGAAATACCCAGCGAAGTACTGGCTTGCCTGCAGCAGGAAGCTTGTGCGCAGAACCAGCATTTTAGGGTAGATACTTTCCCAGGGATTTGCGCACTGGATGGCCTTTATGTGTTCCTTCGCTGGAGAGCACGGAACGCACAGTGGTGACTTTCGACGAGGGTGTACATAGTGCTCAAAGTGCCCTCGTTTAATGGCCCTTTTTTCTGTATCACTGATTTTGCACAGTGTATACTGTGCAGTACAGTCAGGGCAAAAATAAAAGGGTAGGTAGGTCAACGCTTGAACGAATCGTACGAGAACGAGACACTAGATGGCGCCATGGTCTTTTTCGTAAATTATTCACTTCACTAATTGCATGGGCAAGTATAATTTATGCCAAGGGATAGTGTTAAAATATAAAACATATTCTTCCAGGGGAAAACAACTTTCTTTTTAAGGTTAATACATACATTTGTAAGCCAAATCTTATTGGGGATATTACTAACTTAATATCAACGCGTTAAGTTCATGTATATAGTCTAGGGACCTTCGCCAGCTAATTCCTAATATATAATCGCAGTATACGTATGCCATCTTTGTAATTTTGAAATCAACAAAATTTAAGAGTATGGAGAAGTTTAGTAGTTCCAGGAAGAACATCAAAATCTTTCAGTCGTAAATCCTATTACATCAGAAATAATAAAGATAAAAGTGGTCAATTTATTGAGCTCTTATCAGAGGACCAAGTAGCAGCAAGGTATTACCATTTATTTTTTACCAGAGTGTTAACCCCCGCCAACAACGTGACAGCAGAGAGCCCATGGGTAATATCGCAAATCTGAGAAAAGAGCGCGAAGAGATACGATCGCCTGTGACTTTGAGGGACCTCATAGATTAGCCGTATACGTATACTCGTATAGTCGCGTTCGATTAGGGGAACCAGCACAAAAGTGGCGCGAAAAGAGCTTTGTAACTGTAAATGCCCCCAGAACAGAAGCTTTGCCGCTCTATCGCGCTCTCCTTCTCCCCGCCTTATCGCTGTGTGCGTTTTCTTTTTCTGGCTGTGTGAGTCAGTGGGGGTACCGAATGACAAAACTTTTGGCGCCATTTTTAGTTTGCACTCGAGAGTGCAGCACGCAAAGCGCTAAAAAATACAAAACAAAACACGCACGCGGCAGGAAAAGCGGAAAATAACAATAAAATGCCGCCTAGGAGAAGTAAAAAAGGTGCAAATCGGAAAAGCCCGGGTCACGATCCATCAAGATCAGTTAGGATCCTTAAAAAAGTTATATCTTTGAAATAAAAAATATGTTTTCTTCAAAACGACCGTAATTAATCAAGTGTCAAGCGTCAAGGAAAGCAAAAGTCCCTCTTGACCACTCCAGAAAACAGGATTAGAGCCAAGTGGGAAATGCCAAGGAAAGGCTGGAGCCAAGGGAAGCCGCAGATGGCGACAGGTGGGTGGACAGCGGGTGGCCATTTCCCGAAGGTGAGACCCAAAGCCGATCAGAAATCAAGAGCCCCAACAAGCAGGTGCGACTGAAAGTGACTTGCACTGGGGAATGTTCCGCCGCCAGCGGATGAGACAACAAACTACACTGGCCAAACAGAACTTTGATCGCTGAAATCGGGTTACAAGATTGTATGTTGTGAAAAATTAATATTATTACAAAAGAGAACCAGTAGATTTTCTGAAGATAACCTAAATGATATATATAATAATAATATATCATTTGAGGGTTTTTTCAATATGTATATTTTTTTAAATTCAAATTTAATTCTTAACATATTCCCCTTAATAAAAATAGGTTCGCCAGATTGTCATTAATAAGTTGCTTCGAAACTGATAACAAGGTCCATTCAACATTTTTAGATTATATATGCACATTTACCCTTCAAAACACTGACTAGCTCAATATATTTGCAGTTAATGATTAAATCAAACAATCTCCTAGATCGACAACTTATTTATACTAAAACATCGATTTCATCAATTAACAATTTAAAACTGAAACCCGTTCAAAAAAGTATTGCAAAAAATAAAAATATCTCTTAGTTAAAAAAAAATTGGAACACTATAAAGAAATAAAAATATATCTCTTAATTTCATCACAAACAAATTTTGGAACATTTGATAATTATTAACAATCACTAGATAATTTCAAATTATTAAAAAAAACGCACATGATTTTTCTTCCAACAGAGATTAGAACTGATATGCCTATCTTTCAATTTCATCACAAAACACCCATCAAGAGCGGTTAATTATTTAAATACATAAACGAACTACAAACTAACTTCGAGCACATGATTTGAATTCTGTAAGTTCTCAATGGAGCCCTGTAAAAGCCTGCGAAGCACCTACAAACGGCGATTAATTAGTTAAATACACATAACCGCGCACATGATTTCACTTGAACCAAAGATTAAGGCCTGACCGACTAATTTGACGACGAGTGTAAATGCGCTTGGCCAGCAAAAGTGCAAAAAGTCGTATGAAAAATACTCGTATATTGCCCATATCGTACGTACTTTGCCTTGTCGCTTGCTGTTTACTTCACTGTATACTGGATACTGGGATACTGGATACTGGCACTGGATACTCTGGTGGTACTACTGCCTGTGAAAATCGCCTCGAACGAACTGAGACCGCCGAGACTGAACAAAATGTACTGGTACTGGCTGCTACTACGGCGGCTATAGGCAAGCGAACTGAACTGAAATTCAACTGAAGCAGCTGTACCAGGCAATGGCCATAGCCAGCTATACAGAAACCCAACCAAACCGAACCGAAACCGAAACAGAAACACACATAGCGCAGGGTGGAGAGAGCGAGAGGGGTGCAGGGGAGGGGGGAGGCGGCACAGCACAGCACACACAGCACACAGCACAGCACAGCAAAAGCAAAAGCAAAAGCAAAGGCAGCGACGAACAGCGAGACCATCAAATAGCACGGAGTACGTACGTACAGGCAGCCAAAGCAAAGTATCTGTATCTGAGAGTCGAACAACCCAGGCAGTCGACCAACCAACACACAGGGCGCTTCGGGGTAGGCGACTGTGTTCGCACAGTGGCGGGCCTTCGGGTGTGCACGGCTCAGGCTTCGCGACTCATTTGCCTGCTCGCACACTGCTGGGCCGGCAAATTAGAGGCACAGCGCATGCACAGTGGAGGCACAAAATATTGAAAATGCCTTTGTTTCAAAATGTTAAACAGCTTGGTTATAATTTCAGGGCTTGAAAAAGGGGATTTCAAATGGGCCACAAAGAAACATTTTTTTTATAATTTAAAAAAAAAAATAAATATATATCCCTTTGAAACTCTATTAAAACCAAACATATTTAAGACTGTCCCCCACCAAACACCCTAAAATTTAACAAGATGCGCATGTATACGACTATTTTTGCCGCGACTGTACATATAAAAAGCATGGAGCTGTGAGAACGAATTGCCAGCAGTATTTGGCGGCGCCGCTTTCCCCTCTCCGTACCCTCCATCCCCTCCAATCCCCCTCCTCCCTACTCAATACCCCAGAGCTCGTCAGAAACGTCGTCACTGCCGCCCGCCCACCTGTGTACCGCCCACCCCGTCCCCGCAGAAATTAAGAAAAAGTAAAGCACTCCTACTTCAGCAATTTGTATCTTCCACTCATCAGCCATCATTAAAACTTATGGGCATACATTGTAGCTTTTCCTTGTTTTTTTCCAAAAAATCTTTAACCTAGAATATTGATTTGACATTTACATTTCAATCGATTGAATAATCAGCCCAGCGAATCAGCTCACATCGCCAATGCGTTCGCATTTCAAAAAATAACCGTCAATATTTCGCGCGCGCCCTCCATTCAAAATTTCAATTCAATACGAGCACGATGTGGACGACGAAAGCCACCTAACCAAAAGGCGAAAGCAGCCAATGGCTCTATGTGGGACCCCAAGTATAGTGGTAGAGTGTATAACCCACGCTGCCACCAAAAATTGGGTCGTTCGGTTTATTTAGCAAAATTTATATAATAAATGGCCACCGTGGCGCTATATCTTGACCAGATTATTTCGGCGAGACAATAACGAATCAATCGTAGTGAAGCACTTGACACTCACCCGTATGAAAAAGTCGCGTAATTTGCGTTTTAATTGCAGCAAATCGAGAAAATCTGCTCGCTTTGGTTCAGTTTCAGTACAACTGCCTCGGTTCACTGTATAAAATTTTTCTTTCCACTGAAAACCCAAGCAAGTCGCTTGAGCGTAGTACAGCTTTTGCCTTTGGAATATGAAATACACAGCGTAGAGTGAATGCCAGAGACCAGAGACCAGAGCCCAGAGCCATACGCCATATAGCTCGAGTACGACGCAAACGCAGGCAAACTGGGCCTGTCGCTGTGTGCGTGCCGAGTATCTGTGTGTCTGTGCATCGCTCAGCGAGTTGGTACTCACAGATACAGAGCATTGTATCTCGCCTGGCTGGCGAACGCTTGGCTGTATGGGTGATTTTGCTTTGGGTCTGCCTTCGTTCGTTATATGAACAGCACACTGGCGGCAGAGCAGATGGACGTGGACGGTTGGATGGGGAGCGCCGGAAGAGCGGCGGCAGAGCGGAGGCGGTCGGCGGTGGAGGTAGTATCAACGGCAAGAGCGCAGAGTCAGAGCATTGAACATGGCCGCCTGGTTTCGGTCTGGGTCTGGCCTGCCTGGCCTCTGGTTCGCTTTGCTTCCCATGTATCTTTCGGTTATTCGGTAAATTTTGGATCATTTTACCACTAACATGGGGTGTACCGAGTATGCAGATATACTGGAAATACCTCAATCCTATTAATGTTATTTAAGAACTATTCATTTTTAATTGAGAAATAGGAATTTTAGGACTTTTTCTTTGCATTTTTACTCCAATAATTGAGGTAACTCTGGTTTTAGTACTAGTTTTTAATTTTTTTTAACTGTCTTTGGGTGTACTAGGTTTGGAAATATGTTAAGAAAATACGTATCTATTAAATGGCATTAACAGTTTTACTACTTATATACCACAAATATGTTTTTAGGTATTACCTATATTAGGTAAATAAAAATTTGTGTATCTCAGTACTAACATGAGGAATACTGTATATGGGAATACTTCAACGAAATATATATCTGACAGTTGTCATTTAAAAATTATGTATGTTTTGTCTAGAACTTCGAATTTTAAGGCCTTTTTCACAAATTTGTAGGTAATATTAGGTGTATCATTGGTATTTTAATAGACATTCGATTTTTTACAACTACTGTGTAGTTACTGGGTATAAGAACATGATAGGAAAATATAAATCTAACGAATGGCATTTAAATCTGAAATAAATATATGTAATGTGATATTGTTGGCTTTACATGTAAAATGGTTAGATTTCAGTGCAAAATTGAAATGGCTTACTGTTATGGTAAATTATAATTTAATGTTCAGCTCCCTATTTTTAAATAATAACTTTTGGAAGTGACAATTTTGATGGATGTATGTTGTTTTTAGAGTTTTTTCTAAAACCTCTTATACTAAAAAAAAGGCTTTCAAAAATAGGTTGTGGTTTATCTGAAAGCAATACTTATCTTAGGTCCTTAGCCAAAGATATGTGAACATACTTTTTCAGACAGTTACATTTGAATTTAATACCTGGTAATCGAACTATACTGAAAATACCATATATTGATTAGAAATTTTAGACATAAAAAATATTTTTTTTAAATTAATTTTAATGATGATAAGCTTCGGAAATATTTTAAAACTTCATGAATATTTTACCTACTTTGTAAATAGTAAAATAATAATTCATACAAAAACAATAATTTAGTTTCTAAAATGATCAAAACATGGGTGTAAAATTACAATAATCATATATCAGTGAAATGACATCAGATGTGTGTGTTGCAAAGGGCCTTATCTAATCGAACAGAGTGACAGACGGGCCATCGAAATTTGGGCCACGAAAAAGCGCACCAAAGAGTCGACCAGTGCCGCCTGTTTTTCGTTCACCAGTATCTCGCTCTATAGAGCCGTCGAGCTGTAGACCGCAGTACAGCACGGTTGTAGCTACAGAGCAAAATACGAAAATACGAAGCGAACGAGTGTCTGAAGGGGAGTCGGTGAGAGCGAGACGGGGCGGCGGGTGCGAGGGAGAGCGACAGAGGCGGTCGTTCCACATACGCGACTGCAAAGCAAACACAAACAACACATGAAACCGAAGAACCCGATTCGTTTGCGTGTAGGGTATGCGCAAGGCAGTGGGACAATCTGGACCCGGTCTAATGATGAACCGCTTAACGGATTAACCAGATTTCTGATCTCTGATTCCTGATGCAAGTTCCAGTGACAATTTCGCATTGGGAAAATATGATATGGCCACCTTTATAGGGAACTTACTTTACTATCTTTCAGAAAAGAAATGCGGTTAGCACGGGGACCTAAAAGATACATACACAGCGGAAAGCTAGAAAACTACCGATCTCAATTTATAATTCAAAAAGGTTATTATTGGATTGGTTGAAGCCACAATTATTCTGAAAACTTATGATTGCGTATCTAGAAACTCAATAAAAATAAGAACCATATCTGGTAATAAAGTACGTCTTCTATATATTTAAGAATAATACTTCAATTCAATTCAATACTTCAACCCAATGGATTGGGTTTTTTATGTGGGATAGGATAGTAAGGAATACTGACACACCCTTAAAAATAAATATTTTTTAGAAAACAGGATTACGGATACCATTAATATAGATCTACGGTGAAATGTAAATATCTTTTGGATGTTTTGAGCAACTGTATCCTTTGGCGGGACAAACAAGGTAACGAGTTTTACAGATCGTTGACCTCAACCCAAAACAGTTCGGGGTGCCTACGTGAGAAAGGGGTTGCTTTGTCGCATATACCATAATGCCTCTGGTATACCAAAATCCGGAAAATGTTATAATATGTCTAGATCCAGAGATGCACATTTTTTTGGCGTTGCAGATTATTGGTCCCACCGTGCCAGTGGGTCGGTCGATTATTATGGCTGTTTGTCGTCTCATTTCAGCCGTGTGTCTGTGTGTAGCTCATAGCATGAAGCCAACGGCCCATAGGATGATATCGTGGAGGGTGTTGGGTGGGCTCTGATGTTATGGCTCGGTGTTGGTTTCGGTTTCGATAAACGGGGGGAGGTGAGAGACCCAAGCGGACTGCAGTCGGCGACTTTCGGTGGTGGCAATTGTCGGCCAGCTGGGGACGTGGATGAAGGGGTCTCCTGCCGCTCATCAGGATTGGGGGGATTCGCTACTCTATCGGTAGGAGTATGCAAAAACGAACCAGCTAACGAGCCGAGCGAACTGGCGACACCGCTTCATCGAAACGGGGACGCATGAGGCGCACATTTGACAGGATGTGGATATAACGAGCCTGCATGCGTATGTACTTCGTGTAGCTCTCGAGACCAATCTGATCGAAAAAGGGATGCTCTAAGTTGGAAATATAATATAGTATAATATTAAAAAACTCACTATATTTCTTTGTTTCTTTGTGAATCACTAATCCTCGCAATAATAGATACAATATTTTCAAAGTAAACAATTTTGTGAATACCCATGCTTTGAGAAGAACCTGTGTTGATTTAAAGAAACGCTTAAGGCTAAGAATTTTTATTTATTATATATTTAGTTGGTATCATAACTAGATAAACCTAAACGATTTTATGTAGAGATACGAAAAAAAAGTTTATTGAAATATATCTTTTTAACAAATATATGGTTTCGGTTTAAGAAAAACTCAGAAAGGCATATTGGATCCTCGAGCAGGAGATACCCCATACACACACATTCTTCTTGCCTGCCGCAATCTGCTGCAACTTTTCATCTTGGTAATGGCCTAAGAGTATGGAGGGTCTCTGTACTTTTTGTGTGTACTAAGCATTCCTCTATGAGATCCTTGGTGCCTCGGTCTACCTTCTTCTCCGTTCCCTTCCCCCGACCCTGCTTTACCCAGCTTAGGTTGATTTTCCTGCTGCCTGGACTCCTTGGACAGGCGACATGAGAATATGGACTCTGACTTGGTTTCGCCTGCAAAACATCTCGCATTTGTTCGGTATACGAGAATGTGCGGATTGGAGGGTCGAGAATTTGTGCCTTTCATGGAACTGAACTGCATGGGTTTTGCCTTGAGTAAGTGAATGTTGCCAACAACACAGACATACTCGCGTATCCTTGTTGCAGACAATCAGGAGACTGAAGTACTCACAGCAGGATGCGGCAAACATCCCAGCAAACAGGGGTTCCGCATCGCAGGAATAAGGAACACGGGGCACTTGTTGTTGCCGCTCCTCAACGTTGCATCGGTTTTACCATACCATACCATCCGTACCCATCCTACTCGAACCAATATGGTTGGCATATGGACTAAATGTAGTTGGTTCCTGTCTTTACGGTTACGTTTTATAGAGGGTCTTATGCGCTCTAAAGGAAAATAACTCTTTGGCGCCACTTTTTTTTAGGGGATCGTTTAGTAGTGGTTAAGATGGGGTTAATGAAGTTATGATTTCCCCTTTTGCAATTGTTCATATAATAAAGTCAAACATAAGGTTCGTAAATTAAAATTGCATGTTTAGTTGGACAGCTTATTGGAGAGAACGCTGGTTTCTTTCTTTTAAGCACAATATTATTGTAGTGATAAAATAGGGTTTATAAATATTCTTTAGAAAAGGCAGTCTTGAAATCCATAGAGTAAACAAATCATATCATCGTTCTTGTTCTTATAATATTGGCTTCATTTGGGAAGCTTCATAGGAAACAGGATGAATATTCTGCCTTACAGTTAGGTATCTGTATTTTATATTTGATTTATTAAATTATTAAATATTTTAGTAATAGTAGCAATATCATTGCCTCACTATTTTAATCCAGGGATTAGTTGTATGATGCTTAAGGATTAAAGCATTATCACAGCATATTGATCCTTTGGTTAAAGCATGTTTTAATTGTTATCCTCTTAATCCTTCTGCTCTCGATAGAATTCGAAGTCTTTGCAGATTCAGATTTCTAATAAGCACGTTCCGTTTTTGTTCTGAATCGTATTCTCTTTCGATTTCTGTGTCGGTTTTGCACCTTCCACGATGTTCGTTTCTGCCGAACAGCTGATGGTGGCGTTGCGATGATGATGCATGTGCGCCGAAAGGGGGAAATCGGGGCAGAACTTGGGGGCTGTTCGCTAAATAATACGGATGGCGATGGCCCGACGACGCGATGTTGTTTCGCCAGAGTGTTTTGGGTAGAACTCGCCGC